AAAATCCATCTGATTTTGGGTAAATCCCAGAAGGTTCTAACCTTCCCCAGGGAGAAAATCCTCTAACGTATCAAGTGCAATTGGATATGGTATATACTTCAGTTGCAGCTCCTGGGCTCCAATTTCTTGGAGGACAAGACACCCAAAGCCAGCACTGAATTCTGTGTAACTGGCAACTGTGTAATTGTTGCCCCATTGGCCTGATACCTTTAGGTAGGTGAAGAAGGAATGATTTCTTAATTATATTTTTAATCCTTAAATCCTTCACATTGACACTTACAAGAGATAGCAAGTTGGTACTCAATAATTCTGAATGAGCACAGTTTGTCCCAAATTCCTTAATACAAATTTTTGTCCTTTGACACATAGTAATTGTGAATTGTCACTAGGAAACAACATGCAGATAGGATGACTCTGCTAAGTAAACCTGTTCATGTATTTATTTTTTCATGTGTTCATTGTTCTTTTGCCCAACAAACATTTGGCGAAAATTGTGCTGGACACTGAACTGCCAACTTCCTTCCTACGGTTTGACACCAGAAAGTTAGAGCTTTGGGTTCTAACATTCAACGTCTGCCCTTCTTTGTTTTATTTGAAACCACTCTAACTTGAACCTTCAATTCTTAGGGTTCCAGGCAAGAAGGATAAGAATGCTCTTAATGTTAATGAGTTCTAGATGCCAGGATAACTGTATTCACCAAACATTGTTTCTACAGGGAAACAATGTAACCACTTGAAGCCTCCAGCTCCCAAAATCTGAGAGGGTCTCTATGTCCTCCGACCTCTCCTGGATTTACTACAGTTATTATCAATTTAGCTCCCCTCCCCTCTCTTCTACTTCTCCTTAGTGATTGAAAAGGGGTTTGGCTTTTACTCTGCCAACTAGATACCACAGCATCTATCACAATGATACAGGAAGCTGACAGTAACAAAATTCGGAATTCCAGTTGCCTATTTTATGGTAGGAAATACCTTATCTTGGTAGGAGGAATGCCTGTGGCCCTTGTCACGGCACATCCTTCCCTAGAACTAAGTCCCTGTGAAGCAGGTAGAAGTAGTTAAATTGTTGCAGGGAGACAGAATCTCAAGGGGTGTTTTATCCTAGCTACGTTCAATGAAGAAGCCTGGTAACAAATCTTTCTGTAATAATTAACACCTCCCTATGGACTCAGTACTCTGTGTCCCCTAATTGAATGTATTTGTATCTAGGAGACACTAAAATCCTATTTTTCAGATTCTCAAAATTTTCTATCAGAGATACCTGTCCAGGATTAAGACACTTTTTTCTATGAGATTGTTAACAAAGCCAATTTAGGGCTGGGGATTTAGCTCAGTGGTTCCGGCGCCTGCCTCGAAAGTGCAAGGTCTTGAGTTTGATCCCCGGTACCAAAAAAAAAAAAAACAAAGCCAATTTGGCTTCCGGCAAGTCTATCTCAGGTGGCCTGGCTTTTATCTTTGACTGTCACCTGGAACGTGTTGCTGTCACCATCCACAGATTTTCTTGTGGCAACCAATCTTAAAGACAAGGACCATCCAGAATTAATTAAATTTTTTAAATTTTTATTTTATTGGTATATTTAGGTATACAATATAATGACATTCATCATTGGAAATTTATACCTTTACATAATCTCTCTTGGTTCTTATTTTTCCCTCTTCCCCCGCCCTCCCTTTAACCCCTCCATCCCTCCCTATTTACAAAGACTTTGTTTCCATTTTTTCATTTTCTCATGTTAATTCCTTTCCCTTCTTTCCTTTCAGAGTTAATTAATTTTGATGATTATACTGTACTTCCCTGCAGGTTGTCCAGGTTTCTTTTTTCTGAAATGTCTCTCAAATTCTGTTTCCTCTCCACTCCCCCACTGCCAATACCTTAACCCTCACTCTTACCCTGTTCTGTCAAGTGTTACCTTTTACAAGGTCATCCCCTCTAATCACACTCCACCGCTACAGACAAGGACAACTCCAAGTTCTTCCCAGTATGACCATGGCCTAGAAAAGAAACTATCACTCGCTCCTTCCCATCTCTCTCCCTCTAGGAAAATTGCAAACTACACATGATTTGCCTACTGTTTCACACACCCGATATACACCTTCCTCTTTCTCTGAATTTGCTATTCCTGTTTTTGTTTGTTTTTAATCTAAGAGACCCACTTCTCCATTCTTCACTGGAGTGGGGGCAAGAACATGAAGACAGGGAGAGGGTCATTATGGGGGAGCCCTACCCGCCCCCCCAGCTGCAACAGGGTCTTGCTGGGATTATAGGCATGTGCCACCACATCCAGCTTCATGCTAAGCTTCTTGTGAATTTTTTTCATCCTTAGAAGTTCAGGGGCCGGGGATTTAGCTCAGTGGTTCCACCACCTGCCTCGAAAGTGCAAGGACCCAAGTTCAATCCCCGGTACCAAGAAAAGTACAGAGGAATTTTTTGGGCTGGGGATTTAGCTCAGTTGTTCCACTGCCTGCCTCTCAAGTGCAAGGTCCCAAGTTCAATCCCCGGTACCAACATAAATAAATAAATAAATAAAATAAAAATTCAAAAAAAAAATTACGCACACTATTTGGGCCAGGGATTTAGCCCAGTTGTTCCAGTGCCTGCCTCGAAAGCATAAGGTCCCAAGTTCGATCCTCGGTACCAAAAAAAAAAAAAAAAGAAGAAGTCCAACAGCTGGGTGTGGTGGCACACGCCTGTAATCCCACCACTAGTGAGGCTGAGACAGGAGGATCACCCTGAGTTAGAGGCCAGCCTGGGCTACATAGTGACTTCAAGACCAGCCTGGAATACATAGCAGGACCCTATCTCAGAAAGAAAAAAAATCATCTCAAATATGACACTTCCTGTGAATCTTCTCCAGATACCAGTGGTTCTCAGGAGAGGCAGGGATCCTCCATATGTTGAGCGCCATCCTAAGTACTGGAGAAGCTTTAACACTACATGTGTCTTTCAGAGCCGCTGTCCCTGTTGGCTTGGGTTTCTCCTTTATTTGCCCTTTTCTTCAAGCACTTTAAGAAAACCTGAGTATGAGTTGTGTATCCTGAACGGCTCTGTGCTTCTCGAGAGCCAAGTTTGTGTGTTCCGCATCTACATTCAGTTCATACCAGTGGGATTCCGGCCACACTTCCAAAGGGCTCTGCAGAGAGAAACAGAACAATGTGGTTCTACAGGCTTTCAAAGTTTCCTCTCGCTAACAGTAAGGCTGCTCTGAGGTTGCCATAGGAAAAGGCTAAACCAGCAAGACGTTGGGAAAGTGCTGAGAAGACTGACTTGAGACAAAACCTTAGCGTGAGAGATTGTGCCTAGGGTTCCTTCCTCACACCTGTCCTAATTATCTAAAACTTATTCTCCTCCCTTTCTCCATCTGCCTCCCACTTGATTCTCTCCTTTCTTCATCTCACATCTTTCTTGTCCCCCGCATCTGTCCATTTTTCCCTTTCGTAGGCTCTCTGCCTCACAATCTTTCCCAACACAGCAATACGGTATTTGTTGGGCAACCAGTCAGTAGGTCGAGGCAGTTCAGGGCTGAACTAAGCAAGTTGAGCAGGCTCAGCAAAGGCGGCCCAGAGCCAGGGGCAGGAAAGTTCCTCACCGGTTTTCACTGACACCTAGAGAGAGACATTGGCGGGCAAAGCCACAACGGACAACACATTCACTTGTGATCTGTGCAGTAGGAAGAGCTCCACCCCCACCCTTGTTCTGGCAGTTCCAAGCCACAAAGACGGGGCTTGCTGGCACCTATAATCCTCACACTCCAGAGGCTGAGGCAGGGTGATCCATGTAAGCTCAAGGCCAGTCTGGACTATATAATGAGTTGAAAACCAGCCTGAACTACATACTGTAGTGAAATCCTATCTCAAGAAAACCAAACCAAACAAAAACAGAACAAAACAAACAACAACAACAAAAAAGAAGGGACTCCACCCAGAAAGTTAAGGCAGCTTGGAGAGTTCTTTTTACACTAGTATATTTTTCAAGAGGAAATAAAAACGATCGAATGCTATATGTCTTATGTACCATTTCCCCAAGACAAATGTAAATATCATGCATCACAAATATATACTACTAATAAAAAAGAAAAAATTAGCTGGCAGACTTCTCAAGGGGGAGTAAAATGATCAAGATGTGACATGTCTATGTACCAATTTCCCAAAATGAGGAGGGAAAAGGAATTAAGATACGTTCTGTACAGGTACCGACCCCCCCCCAACCCGTGAATGTAATCATTATGTATTGCAAACATGTACTAATAAATTTAAAAATTTTAAAAATCCCTCAAGATGAATGTAATTCCTCTTGTTGTGTATCTCAACTACATACACGTATTTTTAATAATAAAAAACACAAAAAGTAACTGGCAGAATTTCCCAAAAGGAAGTAAAAAGAATCAAATGAAATGTCTATGTATCAGTTCCCCAAGATGAATGTAATTATTATGTGTTGCAAACACACACTACTAAAAATATAAATAAACCGGCAGATTTTTCAAGTTGCAACACGTAGATGCTCGAGCCCAGGTAAAAGACAGACCTCGGGGACAGGGAAGAGGGGGCATGTTGGAGCTGGACCACTGAATGAGAAGTCTGTCCACCCACTCTTAACTGTTCTTTTTAGCTAAATGAATCACTTCTTTTCTTGGGCTGAGGCAGGGAGCGAGGAGACCGAGGCGGAGGAAGCGCCGTTGCCCTCTGGGGCTAGGAGCGGCTGAGCTCCGCGTTCTAGGCCACGCAGGCAGTCCAGGGCTCTGCGGCAACCCCAGGCCTGCAGTGCGGGCCCCGCCTAAGGGAGGGGCTGACGGACAGCCGGCTCGCCCAATCGTGTGCTGCAGAGGGCGCCGGTCCGGACAATG